CCATGCCTGAGCCCCAGGGCCCCCCCCCCAAATCTGGGCAACGCCCCGACAGCTTTGGGCAGTTGTGGTTGAGGCAAACTAGGCCTCGGTGTTGGCAGAAGCACACAGAGAAAGCCCTGCTGCTAGTGGAAGAGCCCCTCCCAATGCCACGGGGGCACCCCAGGCTGGTCTAAGCAAGTGCCACCCATCACTCTAGGGGCCAAAGCAGGCTGACCTGCCCTGTGCCCAAGTTCCATGGTCTCAGGGGCTGCAGGGGCTGCAGGGGCTGCAGGGGCTGCAGGGGCAGGGGGAGGGGTGTGGGAGTTAAGTGCACAGTCCCCCCTTCCACGCAGCACGACAGCCAGCACATCGGGGCCTGGAGGCTACAGGGGACCAGAGGCAATCTGGGTGATGCTCAAACGGATAGCCTCGGGGGGTTCTAGGTGAAGAGAACTAGGCCTCGGTGTCCCCAGAAGCACAAAGCCCTGCTGCCCCTGCTAGTAGAAATGCTCCCTTCCCCCGCCCCGTGCCCCCCCACCCATTGGCCTAAACAAGTGTCCAGCAGCTCGTAGGCCAGACCAGACCAGTGCTTCCCACAGTGCGGGCAGTGCGATGCCAGTCAGTGGCGCCCCCTCCTCACCTTCCAGGGCCCAAGCCCTTACCAGACACCACAGCTCACTTTAAAGAAAAAATAATATTTATTTGCAATATAAACAAAGTCCCGTTGCTGGTCCGGGATATATATATGTACGTGTGTGTATAGGTAGGGTCACAAATTTTCCTTCATAAGATCATAAAGCAAAACTGGCCACCCTCTGGCATACCCTCATTTACACAAATCTGATGCATCTTTCTGGGGTTTTCTTTTTAAAAATAAAAAAGAGAGAGAGGAAAGAGAACCATGTACAGCATGGAAGCTTCTTGTCAATTTCTCGACTGTGGCAAGATTTTAATCTGCTGCCCTAAAGAATCCCTGAAAACCACCCCTGTGAGGTATGATGCAGTGGGGGCCGAGGGGCTATGGCCTCGCTCCAGTGCGGGTGCTGGCTCCGACAGAGCCCAGCCCGCCGCTCACCCTCCCCAGCCCCCGTGCAGTCCTGACGCCCGGCAGAACTGAGGTTGGAGAAGAAACGAAACTGGAAGAGGATAACGGAATCCGTGGCTTTGTTCTGTGGATATCGGGGTGGGGTGGGGTGGGCAGAGCCTCACACCCTTTCCACCTGTCCGGTTTTGCCCCACCTGCCCCTGCCCTAGGGCGGAAATGGGTGTATGTTTCCTGGTGGCAGAAGGCATGGGCCAAGCGAGGGCGGGGCAGGCTTCCACAGGGCAAGGCGGCTGGACCAAGGGAACAGCCAGGGTGAAGGGAAGTCCCTGCAGGCAGGGCTGGGCCTCCGCCACAGAAGCTTTCCCCAGCCACTGGGCCTCCGTTCCCAGTTACAAACAGCGAGAGAAAGAGACAGAAGTAGTGGGTAAGTCCATAAAAGGGCCCAGGGCCCAGGCCCCCCCACCCCGGGGCTGAGCCCAGAGGGCTTAATGCTCTGTGTGGCAGTTGCTGCAGCCTCGCCCCCAGCAGGCCAGCAGCAGGGCCCCCAGCTTCTGCCTCAGGGAGGTCTGCAGAAACCCCCAGAGGGCAGATGGGAGGGCAAAAAATGCAAAGACCACTAGTCCAGGCTACCGTTCACAACTCGTAACTGATCACAACTCGTAACTGTCGTCACGGCAGCCGCAGGGCCAAGGTGGGCTGGGACAAGGGTGGGTGGTGGCACACGGGGGTCGTGACACCCAGACAGCAGCAAGCCACCCCTTCAAGAAGGGCCTGCTAAGGAAACGGAGACTTCACACATGTGCAAAATGCATTTGGTCAAGATCAACACGGGGTTTGTCTTTCCCACTACAAAAAAATAATAAAAACAAAACACCAGTAATTGCTTTTGGAAATAGAAAGAAAAACAAAACCGAGAACACCTCTCTCTCGCAGGATCAGGAAAGGGGTGAAATACTGGTTTATACAATCCACTGTTGCATGTAGCCTGAAAATAACACTTTTCATTAAAAAAAGAAAAATGGAGAAGAGCTTGAACACATTCCGTGCTCCAGGGAGCTCGGATTTACCTGCCAAAAAGTAAAAAGTAAACTCAGGTCCGTGGATGTGTCTTTAAAAAACAGCCAAACTGGCCGGGCTGTCAGCAGAAAGGCGTGTCCTGGGACGCAGATGAGGCCCTGTCATCCCCGCAAAGCCATGTGTCTGAGAGCAGAGGCCTCTCCAGGTCCTGCAGAGGGAGGCCTTGCCCGCGGGCCCTGTCCTGCAGCCTGGCGAGGGGAGCTCGGCCACCAACCCATCTGGGCTTCTGGGCACCGGTGACGTCCGTGGGTTCGTCTGGCCAGAGGCAGCAGGCTTGGGCCCTCCCGCCTGGCCCTGGCTCGCACAAGTGTGCCGTGGCTGGCCTCACGTGGACTCGAGCGTGTTGAGTGAGAACAGGTTGTGGTTGGTGGGCGTGGAGAAGTACAGCTGCTCGCTGGGCGTGTGGTTGTCGCACGGGCTGCTCAGCCCCAGCGTCCGCTCGAAGTCCAGCAGCTGCCCCATGAAGTTGAAGTTGGGTGAGATGTTGGACTTTTTCCTCTTGACGAAGTCGTAGGCGTCGTTGAGTGACAGGTTCATCTTCTGCATCAGGTAGGCCACTGTGACCGTCACCGAGCGGCTGATGCCCGCCAGGCAGTGCACCAGGACACCACACTTCTTGGAGCGGGCCTCGTCTGAAACACACGGGCACAGGTCAGGGGTGCTGTCCCCAAGGGGCCTTCCCACTGGTGGGCAGAGGGGCTGAGTGGAGAGTGGGGCGGGGCAGCAGGGATGCTGGAGGTGCTGCCTGACTCTGGGAGGACCTGGCCCGGCCCGATGTGGCTATGGTGGGGGGCAGGTGGTGCCGTGGATAAGACGCCAGACTCCCATGTGGCTGACTGGTGTGAGTCCAGGAACCGGTGGCTTGAAACTCATGCAGGGTGTGTGCATGTACGTGCTTAAGATCCCGAGAGGACACGGAGCAGAAGGAACTGCAGCATGGCCATCCCCCCGGGGGGCGATTTCTCACTTTCTCTCTCTCTCTGGTGAGCACACGTGTCCTACAGCAAAAATTTTTAAAAGAAAAAAAAGCGTGACTGTGGAGAGGGCTCTATAGCCCCCAAGATACTAGTTAAGGGGCCATGGTTCGAATCTCAGCCCTGGTGGCTTGGAAGGCATGCCAGGATCATGTGAGTGCCCAAAAGCCTGACGCGAAGAAGGAAAGGAGGAAAAAGGGCCGTGAAGGACCATGCACCAAGGGGGGCGGGGGGTACGTTGTCCCGCCCCCTCCAGTGAGCACATGTACCCTCTGGCAATTAACAAAGAGAAATAAAGAAAGGATTCAGCCACACTTGAGCTCCAGCACTGGACAGCCCAGGGCCTCAATGTCCTGTCTACGAAATGGGCCTATTTACTCACAGAGCTCTCATGGGGACCTGAGCCAAGTAAGGGTTTAGCAGACGCCAGCTGCTGCAACGCCCATGACCACCGCTAGTCCTACTGCTGCCATGGCTGCGTGCTGTGACGCAGGGGTGCCCTCCCAGGTCAGCTATTTATAACGCGGCCAGAAAGCCCATTTTATCAATGGAGGGACAGACACAGGGACAAAGTGAAGAGCCCAAGGCCACACGGGGATCCTCCTAGCTCAGCACCTGCTGCTGGCAAGCCATGGCCTGGGGGTGGGGGCTGTGAGTGTACTCTTGGTACAGCTCCCACAGGCGCTCCCTGAGAGCCTCCCAGGAAATGGGCCCGAGGGAGGCTCCTCCGGAAGGAAGCGGCCCAGCCCGGTCCTGCACTCGCTCTGCTCTCCGCCCAGCCAGTGCCCAAGGCCCGAGCTCCAGCTCTTGCAAGCCAGGGTCTAGAACGCTGGCCGCACCTAAGTTTCCCGGTGGGGTTTGTTTCAGCAGGGCCACCCCTCCTACTTGCGAGAACTCCAGCAGGCCCACGTGCCAGGGACACCTCCCGCCACAGCCAGGTGAATCTGGCTGACAACCCTCCCTGCCCACCAAGCCTCCCAACTTCTTCCAATGCCGCCTTCAGATGCTTCTGCCTGACACACAGGAGGAACTCAGTCCTTGAACCTCTCCCCTGATCCCAGGGCAGCGGTCTCTCTCACAGTGATGCCAGGGACATGGAGCAGTGAGAGGCAGACGGAGGTCTGCAAGGTCCCCACCTCCTGGACGCCCAGTCCCCCGGAGCCAGACACACAGCTGGCCCTCAGTGCTCTCCTCGAAGAAGACACACAAACTGTTCTCTATTGCCTTGGCCTGGAAGAGCTTCCCCTTCCAACCTCTACCCATCTGGGGGCACCCAGGACGGGGCACGCAGAAGGTGCTTAATTCAGATGCTGGGGCTGCCTGGGGGGCCCACAGCTGAGGCTCTGGGCACAGGACTAGCCACAGGAGACCTGTGGCTTTGCATGAAGCCCTGTGGTCTGACTTTGAGGTGTGGGGTGGAAGAAGGGGTAGCAGAGACAAGTCTCCCAGGGTATCACGGAGGAACGTGGGTGACGTCTGGCCCCCAGACCCACTCCCAGGGGATCCCCAGTGAAACATTTCCAACAGCTTTATCTTCAGTCCTTTCAGGGTACGGGTGGTACTTGGTCCTGCCCCACTGGGTCCCATGGGATGCTTGGGCCACAAGTCCTTCACCTGTCAGACTGGGTGCCCACCCTGCCCCTGCATCTTGTTCTGTCCTCCAGTCCACAGATGTGGAGCCAGGCTCAGCCCAGGGGAGAGGGTTCCTCTCCCTCTTTGGGAGAGCTCAAGTGCTGAGGCAGCACCCACAACCCTCTGGGCTAAGTCACCCTGGGCCAGGGCTGGGAAGCTCCAGGCAGCCCCGGGTGCGGCCCCTCCCCCGGGCCCCAGCTTCCTTCCTTCCTCCCAGCCAGGCACCTAGTTTTGGTTCCCAGTAAGCGGATGAGGCGGGGAAGCCTCCCACTTCCTGTTATTAAAGCTTGCCCAGCCCAGCCGACACCAAAACGTCCTCCGCTGGGCACTGCTGCCACTGGAAGACCGCCCCGGCCATCCCGCCCTGCCACTGCAAGGTGGGCACAAACACCAGGTCGTCAGGCTCAGAGGATCCACAGCCACATTCCCCTGAGCCTGTGTCCCTTCCCCGCATCCCAGATGAGACCTGAGGGCAGGGAGATGGCCTGCCTGCTAACAGCCCCAACTGGCCAAAGAGGAAGCAGGACGGCTGAGTCAGCTGAGGCTGGGGGGGCAGGGGACTCAGAGGGCTGAAGCCAGGCGGCAGGACCCACTGTTCTGGCTGAGGCCTTTCTCAGGCTCCCCGCCTTTTTTTCTACTCTGCCTATACTCCAAGCATGCTCCGCAGGTTGCATCTGGGGCCCACAGGGGCACTCTGGGTCACTGTATTCCAATAGCTGCACATTTGGGGCAGGCCTTTGGCTCTGAGACCACCTTTCAGCCCTCTCAGGTATACAGGAAAGCCCAAAGAGGCGCTGTGACAGCCCCATCCTGCAGGGACACGTGTGCTGAGGCGTGATGCAGAGCAGGCCCCGTGGGAGGTCTGTGCGCTATGACGGTTCAGTTTGCAAAGCCAGAAACAACAGCACAGCCAGAAACACACACGTTGGACAGCAGTAGCAAGCCCATGAGGGGCCGGCAGCTGGGGGAGCCCAGGACTCCAGGGACTGCTCAGGCCCCAACAGGTAGAGGGGCCTGAGGGACTCGGTGACTCACAGCAGGCATGGGTACACCCACAGGCACACGCTGGCACACGCAGGGTACACACAGGTCTCAACAGGCCCAGAGGTACCTCGTTGGGTGCGGACGACACCCACAGTCCTGCACACACCTTGACGTGCCCACCCAACCCCCTGCCGAAAGCAACACCTACCAATGAAGCTGATGGCCTCGGGGAAGAACTGGGAGAGGTTCTGGCTCCAGTGGTCAGAGATGGGAATCTGCTTGTAGGTGAACTCGCCGCCGTGCTCGAAGGCGTTGGGCAGGTTGGGTGTGACGTTGAGGATGTACTTGATGCCGTACTTGCCCAGCACGTCCAGGTTGGTGGAGTCCTTGGCGCAGCCGAGGTAGAGGTAGGGCAGGATCTGGACGGGGAAGGCCGGCTGGCTGGATGGCACGGGGCTACCATCTGACTCAGTGGCACTGCTGGGCAGCTCTCGGTCCGACTCGCCGTCTGAGCAGTCGGAGCTGATGCGGAGGCCACCGAGGCCCAGCACCGAGGTAGGCGGCGAGCCACTCGGTGAGGTGTCCACGTTGGTCTCGCAGTGCTCAGAGTACTCCGTCTGGAACTTGTTGAAACCACCTGTGGCCAGGGCAGACGGGCTGGGTGAGAGGCTGCTGAAAGCCCCAGTGGGCCAGGGCTCCCGACAGGCACACCGCCGTCAGTCTCCACGGGCCCGCTGAGCACTATGGCCGCTTTGCAGATGAGGGGACTGAAGCCCGGGGGTGAAGAAACACGCCTGAACTCCAAACCCCTCCCTGTAGCACTTCAGGGCCCCTGACCATCCTACCAGCTTGAGGACACATGAGGACAGGCTCGTTCCTAGTCTGCAGCCCTAAGCACGTGCCCCATGGGTACGTCCCCCGTGGGTGCACAGTAACAGCAAAGTGGTAAAGGAAAACAGACGACCCCCATCGAAGGCCAGTGCATGTGGGTTTTCAAATCCCTCTTGTAGATGAGATGGCAGGGGCTACTGCCTCACCTGGGTAGGAAAAGGCAGAGGGCCTGGGGCCACCTGACTGGGAGTCTAATGGTTGCCAACTCCCCCAAATCGCAGCTGGGGAAGGCAGAGTAGTTACTGGCTGGCCCCTTCCCCACTGGAGGAAGGGGTCCCAGCTCCACTTCTCAGGACTCTTGCCTTAGAACACAAGACCCCCTAGCCTCAGACCATGAAGGGGAGGGTCACTGGGGCTCTGCAGACAGAACAGGGGGGAAGCGCCTTACAGCAAGGCATGGGCCCTGCGCCCGAGGGTGCCGCAGGCCTCCCCTCCCCTCCCGCAGCCTGCTGCCAGCGAGAGGCCATTTTGGAATGTTAATTGGAAACACCGGCCTCAGCCACTGGCCCCCCAGCCTCCCCTTTCCACAAGCTCTAGGGTGGCAAGCTGGGGACCTCAGAGGCTCCCAGGATCTGGGCCAGCAATGGACACTGCCTATGCCCTGCTCCAGCGCCTTCAAGAGGCAGCGATCCTGAGGACCCCTGAGACCCTAACCCATCAGAGGCAAGGAAGGTGCTGTGAAAGATGCCCTTCCTGATCCTGGGCTTCCAGGGACATGAATTCCAGGGTGCACTTGAGCACCCTGCTGATTTCGGGGTTCCAGGAGGCAACTCTCCCTATTCCGAGGAGCTCAGCTGAAGCCTGGGCGCTGTTACTGTCGCCCAACAATAAGAAAAAAAGGAAACCCCAGGCGGTTCCAAAGTTTGTTCCGCCCACTTGAATCGTGCTGAGAAAGGGGGCGCAGAGGGAGCCCCCAGGCCTACCCAAACCCACGCTGTGGGAGTCAGGCTTCAGGGAGGACCAATGCAGGCGGCGGGGGGCGACGTGGCGCCCAGCCGGGACAGCATGGAGAGGAAACAGCCTGCTGTGGGGGCGTCAGGGGGCGGCGGGGGAAGCCTGATCCTGGACGGGGTCTCGGTGCTGTCCTCACCTTGGAGGTAGTAGGCCTGGCAGCCGTCGTCGCGTAACTTCTGTAGGAGCAGGCCGAGCACGGAGGCGGGAGCGCCGGGCTCGGGCTGCCACTCGGCCGCGGCCTCGTCGTAGAGCAGCACGGTGGCCGCTTTGCAGCGCGTGGCGAAACGCTCCTTGTCGGCGTGGTTGGGGATGATGGAGCGGATGGGCAAGTTACCCTTGCGCAGGCGGCGCAGCATGAGGCCCGGGATGGCCAGGTTGATGGCCGTCTCGATGTGCGATGACTCGAAGAGCTCGTGTGGCCGGCAGTCAAGCAGCAGCAGGGACGCGCCGCCGCGCGCCTCCAGCTCCTCCCGCCGCC